ACACACACACACACACACACACACACACACACACACACACACACACACTATACACATAAATAGACATAAATGTTAGTATGTATTTAAATACAATGGGGTACCAGAAGTTGCAGGCTCGTAAGGATGACCTTCTCCCTTTCTTTACCTTCCCATAGCACGTGGGAGTGAAATAACACTCTCAGAGATGATGGCTGCTCTCCTAACCAGCAGGGTTTTAGGTTGCCAAACTGGCAGACAGAAGGGAGGCCTGGCATTCTTTGCTCAAGAAAACAAGAGTGAGAGCTAAAAAGACAGCTCAGAGATTAAGAGTGCTTTTTGCTCCTCCAAAGACCCAAATCTAGATCTGCAGACTCTTGTTGTGCAGCTTACAACACTTGTAATTCTATTTCCGGGAGACCTGAAACCCCCTTCTGGGCTGTGCAGGTACCTGCACACACATGGCATATATACACACACCACACCCTGCCCCACAGAACACACAAGTCTTAGAAAAAACAAAACAAAACAAAACAAAACAAAACAAAAACATTGGACAGAGGACACAGACCCTATACTTCCCCTATAGCACTGTGTCCCACTTCTAGGAACAGAAAGCAAGACCCACATTCACTCTGAGCAGCCAGTCTCTCGCAATTGGAGCTGGTGGAGTCGGGCTACCCTGGTTTATTTTATTTTGTTTTATTTTATTTATTTGAGATAGGGTTTCTGTTTGTCTCTGGCTGTCCTAGCACCACCATGATTTTTATAAGCTGAAGCATAACAAGGCTTTGGCTGCAGACAACATCAAGGTAAGTCTGGAGTAGGTGAGATGTTTCCCACCTCTCTAATTCCTTCCTGGGGTTCTTGGGGGCCTAGCACCCAGCTCTCCCATCTGTGTTACTCAGCCATGTTGCCTGCCTGAATCAGGAGATGCTGCAGAGACATCTCAAAGCCCAAACAACCCCCATGCTGCTTCCCAAGACCCAGCAGATTCCTTGTGAGACAAGGACCTTATGAGAACTGAGATACTTCCCAAGAGCTACAGCGTCTGTGACATAACCTCACGCAATCCTTGATATGACATTTGGCTAAGAAAAGGGTAGACCCTGGACTATATTTACTCCTCTGAGCCAGGTCTCAGAGATCAGCCCAGAACCTGGCACACAGTGGAGGTGCCCGGTAAATGCTTGTGCCACCATCACCATGACTCATTATGCTCTCCATTCCCCGTCTCTCAGGCTCCAGTGAGGAGACGCTTTTCAGATGATCTCAGAGTGTGGAAGCTAAAACACTCTTAACCCAAACCAGGCTTCCCGGTAAGAAACTGAATATTCTGAAAGGGGCCAAGGCTGGTGGCAAGGCTGGCCCACAGCCTGGGGTCTTCCAAGGGGAAAAGGCTGAGAAGGTCTCTACTCTCTGACAGCAGGATGAGCCTAGCACCTCTCCTGGAAAAAAAAATCTCTCTGGAGACCAGAGGCCTGGCAGGGAGCCAAAGCAGGAGCCTCTCCAAGAAAATGCTGGCTTTGAGCCAAGGAGCATCCCAGAAGCTCTAGCTTGTACATTGGCTGAGGTTGAGGGGAGGAGGGGCAGCCAGGAGATGGGCAGCCCCAGCCATCTTCCAAAGGAACCTAGCCAAAAGGGAGTTTAACACAAACCTAGGACACACAGCTGTCTTTCCTTGTTTAGTGGTTTCTGTGTATCTGGGAAAGTATGAAGTCACCACTGCCAGGTGTGAGTTCCACTTTTGGAACAACGATTCTGTCAGCTCCAGCTCTGCCCACACAAACCTACTGCTGACTCTTTACCTAAAGGTTCTTCCAGGGTTACTGTCACCCTAAATGCTGAAAACCACAATATTGCCTGTAGATTCAGGCCACAATTTCCACCTTCAGGGACTGAGGGGCAATCCCCACCTAACAGGCTCTTCTAGGCCTGAGCTATCTAGTTTTCCCACTACGCTCTATGCATAGACCTCAGTGATTAGACACCTCCTGGGTGAGACCAGAACAATCAGTTATAAGTGTCAGGTCTATAAGCGGGCTCCATTCTCTGGTTTAGACCAGCCATTTCCAGCAGAAATGTGAGGGGGAGTTCCCCATGTAATCTTAAATGTTATAGAAGCCTCACCCCAAAGACAGAAGAAACTGGCCACTTTAATGATATATTTTATTTAGTCCAATATTATTTAAATGTGCCATACTGCCCACATTTGTGAGCCTAGCCACCTATGTCTATTGGGTATCACACTGGACAGAATAGTACAGCTCTTGACTCCAACAGCAGGTCCCCATTTTCAGACGAGGCTATGTATGGCCAAAGAATCTATGGAGAGGGCACAACGGTAGAAATCAAAGCCCCAGACTCCATCCTTACAGATGGGCCCATCAGCCTTCTTTCAACCTCCAGATGCATAACCATGGACTATTAGGTAGATGACTGTATGATCAATCAAGTTTAGAGAGACTGCAGCATAAACCTATTTGAAAGAGGCAACCCAGAAAAGACTAGAAATGGATCTTGGCACTTGGCATCACAAAGCTGGGAAACAAAGACAACAGAAAGGAACTGGACGGAGGTTCTGGGAGACCTCTGTGTCAGACCCAAGTCCTGGTGAGGCCCTCTGTCTATGCCATCCTGCTCAGAGCCATCTGGCTCCCAGGATGTGTCAATACCGGTGCTCCAGCACAGGGTCCGCTGAATTTTCCACCACGTCTCCTTGGAAGAACTACCCACAAAAGCTCCTCTCTGCTTTGGAAGGCGAGAACAAGTCGTGCATTTACCCACCGCCTCTAGTCTTCTTACTCTGAGTCGCCATGCCAACACACAGTCATAATTACCAACGAAAGCGTCAATAGTGGCAGCATTGACAAAGACACTATATCAGGGCTTGTGAGCTAAGCAAGGTCAGGCTCTTCACAGCTCCCTAGCTTCCTGCCTACTTCCTTTATTCCACTCAGATCCATCTCTTTCCTTCATTCTTTCTCTCCCACCCAGATGGTCTGATTTTATTTTCTCTGCAGAGAAAGGAACTACAGCTTAGTGTGTAAAACACTTTTATAGCAATTAGAAGACAGGTTCTTCTTTGAGCTCTGATTTTAACTTGTGGGAAAAAGTCACTTTAACATCCAGGCCTCAGGGTTCCCCCCCCCCACCCCCGTGAATGGAGAGAACATTTCTGGACACTGCCTATTCAATAAGGGGGTGCCTGCATTTAATTTGCCTTCTAAATTCAGAGGCTGATTAAGTGTCATGTAGTCATCTCTGAAATCGTCTTTATGATCAACAACAGGAGTACCAGAAGCTCAGAGAAACAAAAGAAGGTTCAGATCAGAGAGGGAGTTAGTGCTAATGCCTGGGAACAGCGGGGCTTGCATCTTCAGGAGCAGCTGAATGGTGGCCTCTATCAGATTATGAAAAGATGAGTGGGATGGATGAGAACTATCAGGCTAAGTGACAAGCATCCTGAGGCCCCCAGCGAGAAACAGGACATGCACCCATTTAAAATGAGAGGTCAGAAAAGGAAGGCAGACAGCCGTCACTGGAGCCCTACACAAGAGCGCCCCAATTTCAGAACACCCAGTGCACCAACATCTGAACTTACAAAGGAGATAAATTGGAGGCTGATGATTAGCATCACAAAATGATTATTCCCTTTGTAAAAGGCTTCACTGCAGGACTGCTTTAAATAGTGCATTTAAACCATGATCTGATTTGCTAAATTCGATTTATACACATCGACTGCCTAAGCTGGCGTGCTGCTGTATTTACATGTCTTCCCTTGGCACAGAGGAGGGGAGAAGCCAGCCATTATTTGGGGCCTTTAATCCTTGCAGACAGTAACTAATCTGGGGAGCTGAACCCTGTTTTTCTTCTGCAGCTGGGGCTTTAGCTGCAAACTGGCCCCAGTTCTGCTGTTTTGCCCATGGAGACCTTGCTGGAAGATGTCAGGACAGGGGTCAGATCGGCTGGAGCCTTCCTGGACATAGGGGTTCCCTACGAAGAATACTCATCCCCACATTCAGGGGTGACACTTTTTGGTACAGATTTCTGTTATTGGACTATTTCCTATAGTCATGAAGCTGAGGATTCAAATCCCACCTTTAGCGTCCACTGACATTTCCGAGGCTGAGTCACAGCTGGTCAGTGAGGGTATTTAAGCCACAAGGACCAAACCAGTGAAGGAACAGGAAAGAAACTGGCTCTCCACTAAAGAAGACAAAAGATCCCCTGGCTCAATGGGGGAAGCAGTCCTTGCCTCACCTAAAGGGATCTGTAGGCCTCGCTGACAAGGCCTGCTGAAAGACAAATGATCCTCTTCTGTGAGGTCTAGCACTTGTGACAGTACAGCTAGGATTCAGGCCCATGCTACAGGGGAAAGGCTCTGGTCCTCTGGCCCGCTCACACCATTTGCTGGGGCAGGGGAGCATCAGGAGGCTCAATTACTAGGTAGGTTGAAAAAGAACAAAGTGCCCCCAAGTCAGTGTGTTCTACCCGCTTTCATCTCAGCACTAGGTTTCAGCTTTAGGTCTTGTTTACCACATGTTTACAGATTCCTCAACCAGAGGAAAGTAGCAGACAGCTACTTCCCAGGTCGGAAGAATTCATAGTGAGGATGAGAGGTCTATAGGCCACAAGTAAATTACCTCTGAGAATGGGGGCTGGACTGGGAGTCAGAATCCTGGGTCCTAGCCCTTGTTTCACTAATTTAATGGCTTAAGGAAAATCAAGTTTGGGGGCTCATGTGACATATATACACAACCTACACAATCACCAAGCTTTAATATATATATATATATATATATTTTTTTTTTTTTTTTTCTGGCACTGGGTATTGAACCACTAGGCAAGAGCTCTCTATCATTGAGCTACCTCCAGCCCATCAAGCTCTAAATAGTATACAAACCGTATATCAGAAAGGTGTCTCTCACAAACCCTGACTTTTGAGCAAGGTTATAAAGTCATCCTGTTTTCTTTGTCTCGGCTGCCAGGAAGCTCAGAGCAACTGCAATAGTCCATCAGAAATTCTATTCTAAACCAGGGCCCTGGGGTAGACACGGTGGAGTGACGAGAGAGCCCTCAAGTGTGAGGTAAGGCTTGGGTAAGAAGGGGGTGTGGATTAGGGGGTGCTGGTGCTTACTGGAAAGGAGAAGAGACAAGGTAAATCTTTGTGTTCCTGTTTATGTGCGTGCTCTTGCAGAGGCTTAAATAAAAAAACCAAGGCCTCAGGGTTCAAAGAAGTTGCTTAAGGGAGTCATCACCCTACCTATTTAAGGAGGTCCAAGTTCATGTGAAGCACTTGGGCCTGGCACAAGGCAGAATTCAACGAACGTAAACTGGTTACTGAAGTTTCTTGGGTGAGGGCACACAAACACACACGTGTAAGGGCCTGCTTTAGGGCGTTGTGGCTTAAAAAGGCAGGCAGACCGATGATTGACGGAATAGGGCCACAGGAGAAAGAAAAGCAGTTGTGACTCTTGGGCTGAGGTCTGGAGAGGGCAAGTCCAAAGATGCTGTCCCCATGGCTCCCATCCCACCGTCTTCATCCTCAAACTGACTCAGCCCAGCCTGAGCAGTGAGAATGGGGTCTCTGGGTCACCCTCAGCCCCAACCACTGTTTCACAGGTTTCACATTGGGACCCTGGACTCTCTTTGCCTTAGGGTCGCTTTGCCAGGGGTTGAGATCATGGAGAGGTCACCTCCTTCCTGTACCAGAGTTTGAAGGAAACTCTGGTACAGGTGCTGGCCACACAGGTTAACACTGCTTGGAAACAAGAAGAGCGCGCGGGTCCAAACCCCCCCCCCCCCACACACACACACACTTCAAAGCCCCAAAACCCCACTGTCAGTGTTGGTCAGCTGGACCTGCACTCCAGCTTGGCTGAGATGGCCCATAGGCCAAGGTCCCGACCAGGGGGGCCCAGCAGCGCCGTGTTTTCCCCGCAATGGCCAGGAAAGGCACCGTGGCCTCGGGGACAGGGAATCCCGGGGCGCCGGAGGAGGCTCCTGGAGCCCGGAATACGCGGAGAAGGCCCGAGGCCGGCGACTGCCGGGACCCCCCAGGCCCGGGGCGCGCCCTCCGGGAATGCGCTCTCCTCCGGGGATGCGCTGTCCTCCACGGGGATGCTCGGCCCGGGGCGGGCGGCACGAGGAGGAGCTCGGCGGAGCCCGCGGCGCCGCGACCGACCGCGTGCCCACGCAGCCATCTTGCCGCCGCTCGGTCGCTCTCAAAATGGCCTCCCGGCCCCGCGGCCGGCCCCGCCGGAGCCTCGGCTCGGCCCAGGGGACGCGGCCGGCTCCCCCGGCTCCTCTCCCGGGCCCGGGGGGCGGGGAGGGGGGGGAGTCTTCCCCGTAGGCCCTGGCCCTGGGCGCCCGGCACCTCCGCGGGCCGGGGACGAGCTGGGAGTCGAGGTGCGATGTGGCCCAGTCCGTCTCTGCTCGAGCTCTCCGGGCACCGAGGCTGAGCGCGCCGGGGGGGCCCGGAGCCCCGCTGGGGGGCGGCCTAGCCTGCCCTCCCTCGCCCCGCGAGCGAGCGCCTTTACCAGCCCAGGCTCTGGCCACCGCTGGCTCGGACCCAGGCTCGGGCCGGACGTGCCCGAGAAGCCACCTCGAGAGGCCAGGATCCTTCCACGGTGCCAGGGCACTCGGCAGCCCGCCCGCCCGCTCGGCGGGATCGGTTACCGAGCACCGGCCTGGCAGGTGTACCGTTAAAGCCATCGCACGCTCGGAAACCAACGACGGGGTGACCCCGTGACATCGGATTCTGGCCGCTCTCAGGGAACTCTGGTAGACACACAGTCGCCTTTCCGGCGCTCCTGGTGCCGTTTTTTTTTTTGGAGGCTCCCCTTGTCCTCTTTCCCCGGCTGCGGCCACTCACCTCTCCCGTAGCGGTGGGGCTCCCTCGTCAGTGCTGGGGGCGAGGAGCTGCCGTGGAAGGGGGCGCAGAGCCAGGCAGGAAGACAGGAGTCTGGAGCACCAGCCGGTGAGCAACTGTAACACAGAGAGAAGACGTCGGGCCTCCCTAGACGTGTGTGCGGCTCATCAGAAACCTCAGGGTCCCACACTGGCCTGGAGGTGAGCTAAACGGGGACCACAGCCTGCGGGAAAATGCTGGGTGCTCCGGGCTCCAAACACGCCCTCCCAGAGACATCGGGTGGGGTACTGCTGTGAAGGAGAGCGGATTCTGTCTGGTACCCATGGTTGGTAATGGACGGGACACCTGGATGCGCGGCAGAAAGCCTGAGCTAGACCTACGCAAGGCACAACTGTGTTTTTTTTTTTTTTTTTTTTTTTTTTTTTTTGTTTTTTTTCGGTGTCACAACTAGTGAGACTTCGACCTGGGGAGGTTCTCTCTGAAGAGCCAGCTCCTAACACCGCCCTCCTTGGAGGTGCCGCCTCGGATTTGGCTTTCACCACCGGCTTTCTTTGCTAGAGTAGCCAAAGCCCATCTGCCGACTTAAATGTCTCCAGACAGTTTAGATGCCCCCCTAGTTAGTCATCCAAGCTCAGAATTTACACCTGTCTCTCCCTGATCTCCTGGCCCTTGCGACGCAGCAGATATGGTACTGTGGGTCCTTTGGTGACACTTTGTGCATCTACTGGGGCTTTCCTTCTGCCTTCAGCAGTGGGAATTTTGAAGTTCAGACCCAGATGTTCGTGTACGTGCCCCTGCCATTTGAGCTACTACTTGATCATTGCCCATTGTGTGCTGGGCACTTTATTTGTATTTTTTTTATATAAATTCACATGACCCCTGGAGGTACAGGTCCTATGGTTCCCATTTTAGCCAGAAAGGTGAAGGTCACACCTAAGGATACACAGAGGGTGGGAAAGGGTAACCCCCTCCCCCCACAAGAGAACCCTGCATCACAGCAGAGCACTCCTAGCAGCTCAGCCTTTCTAAAACTCTGTGTGTGTGTGTGTGTGTGTGTGTGTGTGTGTGTGTGTGTGTGTGTGTGTGTTTAACCTGGCGAACCTGTATCTCTAACTCTACAAGTTCAAAGAAAGAGCCACACAAACAAGCCAGTCCTTCCTTCCCCATAAGCAGAGGATTCCGCAGTGGTCCCCTCCCCGCAAGGCTCCACCCTTCCTTAGTGTAAGTGCAAAACCTTGAGGGAGCCCGGAGAAGCCCCACTACAGCCAACAATCCGCTCACAGCCAACACGATATTATCAGGATAACCCGAGCAGAATAATATGAGATGCATTAGTATAAGGGCTTCATATTTTTGCACACAACCTCAAGGAGACCCGAGCAGATAGAGGAGCTAAAAGAAGCATTCATGGAAATGCCCCTCTCTTTTCCCTTTATATTCAGCCAAGAAGCTCTCCCAAGTTCCATTTGAGAGCTGCTTTTTTTTTTTAAATGATGATATTAATGTGGGTTGTTTTTTTTTGTTTTGTTTTGTTTTTTTTTTTCAATGAAACCTTTGTAAGAAAAAGTATATCCATTGGAACTGGGGTGAAACAAATACATTTAAAAAGGTTTTTAAAAAGGCTTTCTTAGATGAAGGGTAAGGGACATGGCTCTCAGTGTAGGCTATCTGGGACAGCAAAGATTGGGCAGCTGTAGGGTGAGGTGAGGTGAGTGGGAACAAGACTAGATCCAGACTATATTTGAGAGAAATCCAGTAATAACAAGGGACAAGGGATGAAGTCCTTTACAAAACAGTTTCAGGGAGACACAGCAACACCAGTCTGCCCTGGCGAGCGGACCTGGTTCCCAAACTTCCATCCAACTTGCGATCCAACTATACCCTAACCAGAGGGAGAAGGTCTGAGAAACGCCACCCTATATATTTCTAAAATACATAAAGACTAGGAGCTTGCCCTAAGCCAGAGAGAAGCAATTCTGCTCACAGTACCCCCTAATTCATGGGGGTCACAGAAACTAGGTTGCAAGCTGGGGTGGGGGTGGTGAGGCTGACCAGTGAGGGGGCTCCGATGCCTGCACAGATGGAGGCTGAAGGGTCTAATTAGCACAAAGCCTGCACCTTCCATTAATAGCTCACCACGAACTCCTGGATGCCGCTGAAGGCAGTCAAGTTAGAAAGTGTGAGGCTCACCTGTCCCCAGCTCATTAACAGACCTAGGGTGAGAATAGGGCTCTCTTGTGGGAGGACCAGTCCAAACCAGGCCCCCAACTCCATCTAATTACAGGGTTGACTTCTGAGTCCATCCGAGGGGGGGAGGGATTAACCCAAGTCTGATATACTTGGACATACGTTCGGCCAGGCCCCCAAGGACAGTGTGCTCCCTCCAGACTCGAAATAAATTCTTTCTTTAAGTGCTGGCATACATTCCATTTATACGAAACCCTAGATAGGTAAAACTGACAGAGACCTCAAAAGGGGGGAGGGGAGCAGGCAGACTGGAAAGAAGCAGGAGAGAAGTTTCTAGAAAGGGGGAACTGCTATCTTGGGTGTAAATGCATTTGTCAGAATTCATAGAACCGTCCACCTATAATCTATTTCCAGATGAAAATCACGCCTCTAGGAACACTCTGTGTGTGTGTGTGTGTGTGTGTGTGTGTGTGTGTGTGTGTGTTCGCGTGCCCTTGTGCGGCTCCATCGCATATCCACCCAAAGAGCTTGCAGTCTGGTTGATGTGCAGGTTCACACCCTTTTTCAAGGGTCACAGTGGAGAAAGGGGGCAGAGCAGATGGGGAAACAGGGCCGAGCACATCTCACAAACACGAGGCCTCGGCTGGCCAAGTGGGGAGGCGGAATGTCTGAATTGAATCAATTAGCTGCAGAAAACTTCAGAAAAGAAGTAAGGCCCTTCATAAAAACAAAGCCCACTCCTTAATCCCCAAAGGCAATCCTTTCCCCCATTCCCATGGCCACTCCTCAGTAAACAAAGAAATGCCCCCCTCCACATCCACACCTCAATATTCATTATGAGCTGACGTCGGAGGCTGCATTCCAGCCTCCCAGAGTGCCCTAATGACTGGAAACCCAATGGCAGATGACTGAGGGCTTTTCCTCTCCTCTCCACAGCTCTGCCCTTCCCATGGCAGTCTGTTCTTTCTTTTCTCCTTCTCTTTCTTCTTTTCTTCAAATTAGTGAATAAGTAAACCCCTAGCAAGCAAATCAAAGCAAAGACATCACTAACTCTACTTTGTTCATTTATTTTGACAAGTGCAGTTTAATTTTAATTATTTATGATAATACTTCATAGTAGACAGTAAATGTGCCGGGGTATATTTGGTAACATTAATGAAGTCTGCCTAATAGGGACCTTCACTCCAGCACCCTGCCTGGAGAGCTGCCTGCTGCAGAAGCAGGGTGAGACCACTGGTCTGTAGTGGGGTTTGCATTTTTTTTTGTGGGGGTGGGGAGAGGAGAACTTAATGGGTTTGAGGATTAGCCAAAGGAAAATTAACCCAATTCTAGAGAAGAGGCAAATAGTAAGCCCGTAATCATGTGTCAGTGTGGATTGTGTGTATTTAAACACCGAGAACACACGCTTGGTGATAAGGAGGCCCAGGCGTGCACACACACCACATGCATATTTACACACGAATCTCCAGTGTGCAGATCAACAGAGGCCCAGAGAAATTAGGCTCTGGGCAATTAAAAATAGAAATAAAAATAGAGAACGGAGCAGATAGAGTTCTCTCTATCTCCAAAGTACCTTTCTCCTACTTATCATACACTTCAAGTGGGCAAACACAGGGCAGAATTTGGAAGCTGGGGGAGGAACTTGTTCAGCTGGTCATCACACTGGAATGTTCCCTTCCACACACAATGGAGATGGTATACAGGTCTTTGTGGATGCCATGTCCCTTTAAATGGGGCTGGACTGGGGATGTAGCTCAGAGATAGAGCCCTTGCCTAGCACTCAGGGGTTCCAGCCACAGCAAAAACCCAAACTAAACCAAAACAACCACAGAACCACAAACATAATAGGGCTGGCCCTTTACCTCCCCATATATGGGCAGGCTTCTGCATGGCAACAAAGGATGGACACATGCACACATAAGAATGGGTATATTAAACACCACTTGCTGCAAATGCATAGGTATCTGAGACATTGAGGTGCATTCTGCAGAGCATTTACAATAAAGCGTTCTACAGTAGCAATAGAGTTAAAGTATGTTACAATTAATGCTTGATTTTTGAGACTGTAAAGAAGCCTTTGGACTCTCTATTTATTCATTCATTCATTCATTCATTCATTCAAGCACTGAGGACTTCCTGTTTCTTATTTCTGAAGTGTCTGCTAGTGTCCAAGGTAGTTTAAAGCCATTATCAAGGGACAGATAGCTTTTCTTGAGACCAACTGCAGTACTGTCGTAGGACAAAGACCAGGTCTAGTTCTTGGGACAAGAACTATTAAGTCTGCCATCTCTGGTTTGTTTGTTTGTTTTCTTTCTGAATGATCCCAGCAGGTAACGGGGACCCTCGTCACAAGGAGCATTAGCCAAAGGACAAGAGGTGGGAGACTTTTCTTGGCATAGTCCAGACATCCAGGGTCTCCAGGACCTGCTTATCCCCAAATACAGGTGCTCCTGAAATCCCTCACACCTCCTACTCTTCAAGCAGAGGGGTGTTTTGGATAGCACAAGAGGATCAGCTATAGGCACCTGGCTCCCAGATTTCTTCCCTGGCCCCAAGCTCTTCCAACCTTTTCTCCTTAAAGCTGTGACCTGGCTCTGGCGTGGGAAAGGCGATTTGGAGCTTTTCACAAATCCAGTATCCCCTTGAACCAAAACCAATTAGCCTGGTCCAAGGTCCTGTCATTGAGGCCCTGGCCCTCTTTTCAAACCCCTGCGGCTCAATTGCGGTGAGGGGCTGGCCAGTGAATGCCGGGACCACTTAAAGTGGTGCTTAAGCCGGACCGGGGTGGAAGGAAGGAGCCAGGGCTATAGGAGCTGCGGCCGCCCATTCTCAGAGCCACTGACCAAGGTTTTGTTCCAGCCACAGCCCCCACCCTGGCTCTACTTCTAACGACCCTCCCTTCTCTCCACTTTCCAGCTGTCTGGAGGAGAAATCAAAAGCTAGCTCAAAGAATCCGAGAGACACCCAAATTTGGTTACCCTGGCTAGAAAGGACATCTCAGCGTTTGAGTCTTACGCCCCAGAAGTCCTGTCCTCGAATGCGTTAGCCACAATAGAGCACCTACTGTATGCTTGATGTTTTCCTCAGATGCACCTGAACAACTCGTCTTGTGGATGAGAAAACTAACTTGCCTGAAATCACAGGACTTAACCTTAGGACAGTTTTGGGAAAAGCTTTTCGGGATTCCCTAAGACTACTCTCTTACGACCGAGATGA